ACTCCCCACCCCACCCCCCCCCTCTCTCTCTTTCTTTATTTTCAGCATCTTAATAAATTAGTAAATTGCAATCATTTCGCCAAATCATTACTTTACTAGCTATATCTGCCCAAGTATCATGATTAAAAAATAAATTAGAGTTTGGTTAATTAATTTAATCATAGTCTTGGTTTTTTATTTTTTTCCTTTAGTAGTAGTATATGATATTACCATGCATTGATGGTAGAGAGCAAAAACTAAACCAGCGTTTGAAATTGAAACCCCTCATCAACTTTATGACCTTAATAAATAGGATTTAGGAGTCACCAACACACCAATCCGATCAAAAAAACTCCAACCTTAATTAGGCCTACTTAGTTTTTGGTTTTCTCAAAGGTTCTGTTTTTTTTTTTTTTTTAAGCCATAACGCAAGAGCACGAGTCTTCAGTTTAGAAACAGGGTGCAGACTATAGGCCTATTTATCTGCCTTTATCTGAGTTTATTGTGGAATCCTTCATCTAAATATTCACTTCACACTAATAAATATTTGATTTTCCTAACATAATTTTACATCTGATGTATCTCCAGGGCAGAGTTAACTCGTGTTTGTTGTGTAATGTCTATTATTACTATAAGTAGAATTGTGTTGTGTTGAGAGACTTCGATCCAATAATTCAATAAACTTAATTAGTGGAATTTTCAAATTTCAAGGTACTATTATTGCCATATCATCTCCAAATTGATAGCACCTCCATATATATTGAAATACACAAATTAAATCAATTTCTTAAATCCAATTAAAGCTATGCAACTCTCTATCTATACTATCAATAAAAGAGAGAATGCTCATTCTTTATGGAATTTTCATTGGACACTTTCTATTTTCCTTGTCTAATAGTATATAAATGTTAGTAACTATATTGTATGCAAATGCACATACATATTTTCTCGTAATTGTTTTTTGGTGTACATCAGAAATAATGAAACTGCTTCTCTCTTTTGCCTTATAAAATGAAAGAAAGAATTAGTGTGGCTACATATGTCATGTATCAGTACCATGGAGGAAATGAGGACAGCTTGTAATATAATGCATTGATTGTAATAGTAGTAGAGGTTGTATTATGTGTGAATGTATGCTTGCTTTCATACAAGACTTGAAGATCATCGTCAGGTTAATAAGCATCATTTATATTGACCATGCAAACCCAAAATCTGTTTGATCTTCTACCTATGTACCTAATTTATTATTTCTGTCCTGTATTCAGTCAGAATAATCTTGATGATCCATCATCAATCAAATACATTTTAATGGGTCTATTGTTGCAATGGAGATTCAGTGATTCAATATTCACTGGGTGCCTTAAAATTAGCTTGGAATGTGATTATAGTTATATATGTTCTTAACTTTGCTGAATATCTATGATATGGATAAGACAAGTTATTAATTGTTTTTCAATTTCTATTAATACAATAACACCCATGTGATGATTTTCTTTTGGTAAAAGACTTAAACATACTCCGAGTCTTCATAAATCGACTTAAACATACTTTGAGTTTTTTAAAAAGATTTAAAATATTTTATGACTCTTTTATCTTTTATTTTCTTTTAAATTTTTAAAATATATCTTGAATTTTTCAAATTTGTATGTGATGGATAGATCGTCTCTCTCCCTTCATCTCAACATGATTCTTACTTGTATCTCTAAAATTTTGGTTAGACAAAGCCATCCCCACATCAAGGGGGTGAGAAAGGCACATAAATCCTTTTTTTTTTGTTCTGTGTGAGTGAAGAACTACCGTTTTGTGAGGTTTCTGGTTCAGCACTTAGACCTATTTTTCCTTTCGATTTAGAGTTTCGTAGCTACTACCCCCAAAACCCATAAAAAGTAGTAAAAACTAAAACGAGAGAAGCAATGAGGGCAAATAATTGTATAAGGCTTGCTTCTTAATTACAGCGCCATCTCTCCCAAGAATCAAGTAAGTTCTCATCCATTACAACAGCAATCTCATTTTAGTTTTCAATGAATTTAGTAAAACAATTTCATATTATTTTTAACTAATTTTCTTACTTTTGACACAGTATGCTGTTTGGATTTTTTTTTTTTTTGAAAAAAATGTTATTTCATGCTCTCATTCTGAGTAAGCCCCACAGTGAAGAATTAAAAAAAAAAAAAAAATCAGATGAGGCCCCTCTTGTACTATAATTAATTTCCCTTTTCAGACGATAATTATAACTAGAATGAATATTTGCATCAAGTGAGAAACCTCCATGTATAAATCAAGGGAGAAAAAAAAGAAAGGAAAGAACAAAGAAGATCATGAGAGTGGAAAGATTATATATATTTGTTTTTTGCTCAATCACGTTTCAGTCAAAAACCATTGATATGACAAGTTAGATCAATGAATCAATGAAATGAATTTTTGTGGCAAAGGAATTGTGAGGCCACCCAGTGAAGGATGGAGTCAATTTTTGTGGCAAAGGAATTTTTGTGGCAAATGAATCAATGAATCAATGAAATGGTTCAAGTAGGAATGTATGATACCAAAATATATCATGAATTCTTTTGTATCTCTTTGCTTTCCTTTGTGGGGAATTGGGGCTTAACCCAAAAGGGCAAAATTGAATTTTAAAAAACTTAAATGAGTTCACATGTGTCACTTTATTGATAAAGGGTATTTTTAAGTCCCATGGAGTCAATTCATAAGGTATGTTTAAGTTTATTCGAAAAATCCAGGGTATGTTTAAGTTAATCTATGAAAACTAGAGGCATGTTTAAGTCTTTTACCCTTTTTTTATAGAAACCCTTTTTCTATTGTGTGAGCCCTCAATTTGTACTTTATAGTTTGTGTACTTTGCAACGTAGGAATTTTGCAAATAGCTCCCCCAGATTTTTTACCCTATTTTAAACCTTGTGTGAAACTATTCACAAGCAGTAGCATACCTGGAAGTCTAGAGTACTGATTTATATGAGCATGTAAAACACTATGGCTGCATTTGGCATTTTTAACGACTTATCTCCTTTTTGCACTTAAAAACTCAGTATTCCTTAAAATAAGGACTGCCAAATGCAGCCTAAGAAGAAATGCCTCTAATTGCATCTCCGAATATACATAATGTCTTTTATTTTCTTTTCCTAAGACAACTAAGAGATATATTCCAGAATTGTAAGACTTGAACCGGAATGCCCCACAAGATCCCAATTTTACTGGTTAACCGCTAGTTTGCCCATTCGAACTGTGAAAACTGTCGTCTAACCGGGACCTGAAAAAGTGAAAAGGCCATCTTTTCCTGGTTTTCACGGTCAAACCATCCAGTCCAGGCCAAGTCTTAAAACGTTGATATATGATGTATCCCATCTCATATGGGAGAGTGAATTAGGCTGTATTTAGATCAGATTGGAAATGGAATTGGTAACAGAACTTGATTCATCGATTCCACAAATCTCTAGAATCTGTAGTTTGGCTCTTTTCATAGCTCCCTTCATGGAGTGAAAGTGTGGGATTTGGAAGATGCACACAGGAAAAGGACAAGGGGTGTCATTCAATTCCAGGGAATCAAGTGGGAATAGAATCCAAATCCAACCTGCGATCCAAATTAAGCCAAGAATTTGTCTCAAACGTTACGTAAAACGATGGTTATTTTGTAGAAGTAAACAGAATGTTCACAAAAAAAAAAAAAATGACATATATAAAGAAAATTTAAAATCCAAAGTGGTCACAAGTTGAAAATGGCATTCATAAATATAGATATTTCAATGAGCCTGAAGTACACGAGAGCGGTATTCTCCTAGTGCCCATATTGGGAAAATATTCCTGTAGGCGGCATAGGTGATCATGCAATTCCGATTGAAGACACCCATGATTTCCTGTAAGTGAAAAAAGGGAAAAAAATAGTTATATACCAGCAAATATCACCAGGGGTTTTATAATTGCTAAGCAGAAGATAGGAAGACATACGAAACTCAATAGTCTTACAATGGCTTATTCATTTCAACAAGCAAATGTGCTATAAAATATCGTACCATAAGGATTTAGGTATTAGGTAGCAAGATCAAAGAAGTGGAAAATTAAGCTACACTATTTGTGTATAAACAATTACGTAATTGATACTTGATACAGTGGAGTGGAAGTATTTTCATGGACCTAAACACTGAACTAGCTGTTTACCAAAAAAAAAAAGAAAAACAAATGAACTAACTGGCACTGGGTTTCTGTTTTTGGGACAGTCTCCGTATTGTGAGGCCAAGGTAAAGTATTGGCATTAAATATTAAAGATATCGAGATTCCTATAGGAATTGAATGTTACACAAATTAGTTCAGAAAAGAAAATCTATTGGTCCATTCTAACATACAAAAGTRGAGATWTCAAATTAAATGGCTGAGTTACAATATGAGAATTAAATAAAAAGTAAATAATCACAATCTTAAAAGTAGCATAGGCGGAAATATGGCATCATATAGATGCACGTAAAACCAAACTGCAATTGGAACACATTCAAGAATATCAGATATTGCATTTTAGACTCTACCAATATGACCCTATCATAATAACAGTATGCACAAATGAAAATTCAAAAGCAACATTTGAAGTAGAACTTGATGTAGGTATTAACCAAATCATGCATGCTGCATGGTATGGCTCAGAGAATTACCTCCTGTGGAAAATCACCATTCTCCATTTGGGAATTTATCAATGATCTTGCTGCATGGTGCAATGGTATTGGGTCTCTCTCAGCCTACTCAAATTTCAATTTGAAGAGAAATTAAGAGGATGTCCAATGCAAGAAGTACAAGATCATAAAGATGTATGAAGCGATGCTTGAAAAATTCTTTGGCACAATAATTTCTCAGTGTCCTTGGAGACTAATGTTGTAAGACTCAGACCTGACTGAACCATGGGACCTCAGACTTGGGAACCGATGGGGAATCCAGTTTTTAGTTTTCTTCAAAAACTGTCTGACCCACTATTAATCTGGCTAAACAGTCAAAAACTGTCCAGATTTAGTAACCCAGCCAGTTTTCAACAACCTGATCGGGCCATTGCTTCATTGTATGTTGTAAAATGACACTGAGGGGAATTGAACTCAATTGTATGTTATCAATGTTACCAATAAGCTGCAACACCATTTATTTCTTTTTTTTAATGTCTATATTGACAAAATGTAGAAACTACTTGGTGTAATGGTAAAACCTTGGGCTGGGAAGCATGAGAATGCGGGTTTGAGTCTGAGAAATGCCAGATAGCCAGGACCAACATTGGGTAGTGTTTATTTATTTATTTTTTTTTGTATGACTTGAACCTAAACCACTTAAATTAAAATCAGCAAACTTACCATTAAACTACATAGTATATATATGCTAAAATATATAATAATAAATATATGATGTGACAGGTCACTAAGTCAACCCAGTGCTCAGACTGCTTGACCTGTGATCAGTGGCCCCTCCAGTTTGGTATACTATCTGAGTTTTACAACACAATTTGAGACTAAAAAACATTAAACCATGCAAAAAATAACAGACTGAAATATCTAAATACCTGTTAATTCATTTTACCTTTTATTTTTGAATTGGGGTGTTTGCTTAAATTAGAATTAGAATTGAACTTCCAATAACCCCCCCCCCCCCAAAAAAAAAAAAAAGCAAGAATGGAACTTCCCACTCTAAAATAAAGTTGCACAACTTTTCACTGACACATGGATGGCATTGCTTGAGTGGGACCAAATATGATTGCCAAATGGTCGCTCCAAGGCAGGTCATTTGGTGAACAGAGTACCAACTCAGGAACTTTCTACATGGTTTCCTGTTTACATTCCTGTCTCCAGCCAAAAAACTTAGCCACGTGTTGTAAATAAAACCTTCTTTAGTTCTTTATGGGCTTTTCCTAACTAAAAAAGATTTAAAAGTTTGATAGGTGGGCCTTGGAACAACAGTTGGGTCGCTCCATTGTGACCTGGGTGACCAGGGTTCAAATCTTGGAAACAGCCTCTCTGTATGTCCAGGGGTAAGGCTCCGTATATCTGTCCCTCCCCAGACCCCACATTGGTGGGAACCTTGTGCACTGAGCTGTCCTTTTCTTTATGGCCATTATTACCCGGTGGACAGTTTGAATCAGCAGCAAGGTGCTCATGTTGTAATGTTTGGTGGGGTTGTCTAGCAAGGTGCCCTAATTGATTTATCTAGGAAATATCTTAAGAAAATAGATTCCCCAAGCAGCACATAAATAAGCAAAAAGTTCTTCTGCAGAGGATAACTACATTTTTCTACATTTTTTCCCTTTTAATATTCTTGTTCAGTTCCATCTCCTTTAATATAATGGCCTTGGAGAAAAAAGAAGATAAGATTCAAGAAGCTATAAATTTAAAACTTTAATGGTTCAGGTAAAAGTTTTATAGCTTAAGATCACATATTGCAAAATATTGTACTTGTACATACCTGGCCAGCATCGATGAGAGCCAACATGGCCCATCCAGTATTTACTATGTGTGCTTTGTTTCCCCCAAGATTTGTGTACACCTATATGAGCAACATTGAATTGGTCTTTCATACAAGAATTGAATGATAGTAAAGCATCAAACTTTTCATTAATATTCTATAATTCATTAACATAATTGAACAAATCTGCTTTTATGCCATCACCTAAATTCATGCCCAAAAATAGTAGCACAATTCTTTGTCATCAACATAAAACTTAATTTTCTTAACTGGCATAGTCTAATCCTGTGATTAAAATCATAACCATCATCATTATTGTAAGAAATTGATAGACTCTTGTGACATTGATGACAAGCAAACTTGATTAGCCCTTTTTTTCTGGACTAAGGTTATAAAATTTGGATGAATCTGGTAATCTATACAAAAAATGGAGCTTAGTTATTCGGGGACTTTGAGGAAGTCTGATGACTTAAGCACGTTGGATTGTCTTGGGGTAAAGTTTGATTTTAACTAGGAATCTTCTACCCACTTTCTACAACTCTGATTTCTCCACTGAGTAAGTTTTAGTTTTGGTACATTCTTATAGAAGTCATGTTACAGTTAAGTGCACCTAGTTGGATATTGTTTACCTCCTTATTGCAAGGTTGTTCCCTTGTTGGGTCATGCCAACACCATGGCTTGGTGTTTGTCTTTTTCTTCTTTTCCACTTGCAGTAGATCACTTCTAACCTTATCATTGATAAAAAATGCAAAGGGCAAAGAAATACGTGTATTTAATTGAAAAATGGAAGTTGTCTAATGCATGCATTAAAGTCTAAACAACTTCACTGTTTTGAATAGAAAGAATGAAACTATGTTTTTTTTTTCTATTTTATCTTTTTTATTTTCCGATAGTGAAGTTTTAAGCAGCATATTTTGTTAAAATGGTCTCTTTATGATTGATTGATCCCATCGGTTCTAATGATAGAGAGGCTGTACTCTGCTGCCTGTATTTCTGCCCTTCCTGTTGCACTCTTTCTGATTCTTTCCAGTATTTTAAAAATGGAACCAAACCTACTGCTAGATCTAGTGTATAAGGTCCGGAAGATTGATGTTCAAGCCAAGAATTTAGAATGATATATGTTATTGGTAACTGAACTTCTTTATTAAATTATTTGAAAGAATTTGTGATATATACAATGTAAATGCCAAGCATCCGATGTTGTGGGCTAGCCATGCTACCAAACCCATATTCCTTTGTCCTTTTAAATTACAATGTAATCATTTCCCCTAGGAATGATCCCCCAATGTGCTCTGGTGATTCCTTGTATAGCCAGACATCTGCCATAAAATTACATATCTTTGAATCTAAGTGAATCTAGCTTCCAAATTTCTAGCTAGATGTCTGGTTTCTCTCAGAATATGACTATATTGCCAATGCCCCTGACTATTGCCTTTTTTTTGTTTTTTAACCCGCTAAACAAGCACAAAACTCTTGGTTATTGCTTTTGAGCCATCCTACCATAACCTTTGAATCCCCCTCTACCTGCAGCTAGTTGTAGTTGAGGTCTCTCCCTATTCTTAGACCTTGGAATACAGCCAAGTTCTGCTCTTTATCGAGTTCCTGTACCCTATTGTTTTTGAGTTTAATGCTGCTAATATGCCACATGGTGTCTAAACACACCCCCAATGCCTGATTAAAATCTCATATTAAGAAAAATTAAAAGAACTTAGAATGATATGATTAATAAGAATTGTTGAGAAAGCAGTTATTATTTATGTTGTTTGTATGTTTATTCTAATTTAGATCTCGGGTGTATACATATTTTCATTATTACTTAAATGGGGTAGTTTAGGAAACACAACAATTTCATAAACAGAGGTATTATTTCATTTAGATCTCAGGTATTTACATCTTTTTATTATTATTATTTTGATCTCCTTTTATTTTGATATTTTCTTCTACCTGTTTCTTCATACCATATACAGAATCTGTACATGGTATCAGAGCAGGGAACTTACCAGACTGTCTGGACTCATCTCTGCTGCTGCTGCAGTCTACTCTTTCTCTATTTTTCTTCATTTACCTAGAAAACTCTGAGAAGTAGATCAGACCTGAGTGGCTCTCAGAGCAACCAGTGATGGTACTATCCATCACTACAACTGTTGTAACTGTAGCCAAGTGATGTATTGCCCTCTATTGGTACAAATCGGGAGTGATTACGAAGTTATTTGTTGAAAGACTTGATTGTGAGGGTTGATTTTGGTGAAGAGTAGCAGGCAAATAGACCTGTACATTGATCTTTCTTGATTTGGGAACATGTGAGGAGAGTAGCAGGCAAAGACTTGATTAGTAAACATTACTTGTGTTTACTAATTATTTCAGTCATTCTTTAATCTACAACCTAGAGATAATGAGAACTAGTTAGAGATGATGGGACTTTGTCAGGAACTAAATGTCAATCTATCTATTATCTCAGACATTATAGTTATGGAACAGTAGGAAAAAGATGTGGCAAAATTTTTATTTATGAATTAAGTCTGAAACTCTGAATATGAACTGGTATACTCTCAGTCTCTCAGATCTAAGGCAGCCTAGCTTTGCCACATCTACACAGCTCAAAGATGGCATAGTTACTATTTCTAAGGAGGAATATAAATGTCACCCTTTCAAAAAACTCTCCACCGATTCCGGATAGCAACCCTTGTGAGCAAACAAACTGTATACTTTTACCCAAATGCTATAAGAGAATTTACAATGTAATAACAGGTGATCAACTGTCTCCTCCACCATATTACAGAGGACACAAACTAAAGAATCAACTCCCAAACCTCTCTTTATGAGATTATCCTTAGTCAGGATCTTATTTGAATAAGCTAACTGTAAGTACATGGACTTAGACCCAAAGGCACTGGGACAAGCGCCTACAGCGCACCACCCAACACTGCCAAGCTCCAGACTTCTGCACGAATAAAAGAGGGACACACAAGTCTGTGCATATGATAAACTCAGGCATCTTTGTAACCCACGCCAGCGCATAGCTTTGCGCTCACACAACATTCGCACCTGGAATGGATGTGACTACAAGCATGGGTGATCTATCTTTAGTTATGGCTCAGCAACGAGGGGTCCCTGAGATCAGAGTTGTAGCTAAGTTTGTGCTCACAAGCAGACCTTGGAGAAGAGGCATAAGCCTCTGACCCTGAGACCCCGTGGCGAAACTCTACTCATGAGACCCCTCTTCTTATCCAACCTACCCATAGACTCACCCTAACAAAGAAGATCTCCTTCCTTGACACAATTACCTTCCCAGTCGAACAAGAGACTCTACACCTATAAATAAGGTGAAGACCGAGCTTCCCAGGCGCTCACGTCTTTCAGAAGAGAGTACCGTCATTTCACGTTTCGGCACAACCTTCATCACTCTCTACCCACTGCAACTTCCTTGCATCACCCCTCTTCCTCCCAGGAAGGCCATCCTCTGTCCTTCAGGAGGACCATACTCCCATTGCCTTAACCCCCCCCCCCACTGACCACACGAAAAAAAACTTTATATCTATCCTTTTTGTTTGATTGATGACAAATCTCATTAAAAGTCAATAGAATACAAGAGGCATGCAAAGAGGGATACAATGAACAAGAAATTTTGATTAAGGGTTGCTACTGCCGCTCGTTGTGGGTTATGCTGGAAACCATCTTGTGAATGATTTTGTACAGTGTATCATGCATAGGGCTGGGGTTTGGCTAACTTTTTTTTTTCTTTTGATTGGAAAAAAAAATCACTTGTATGCATGTTGTAAGTTTTCTTCTTCCAAAAAAATCTTGAATGGAGTATAAAAAATTACAACACAATGGTTTTCTTTTCAAATCCCTCTTCTTAGTTGAGCTATGATCATATCAGTTATTTGCTAAAAATTTTAGAGAACTTGTGGATTTGGTTAAAAGGCAGTTTCAGCATCTGAGAATTTCCCAAGATAAAAACCAAAGATACATCCTTACAATGCAATATGCTGGCAATTCACAAATTAACAAGAAGGGAACCATTCACAATTCACATCCAACATTGAACATATCTTGGATATTAAAAAAAGGAAAAGGATATTGGCAAATAACATGAATAAATTAACCTTGTTCTGACAGGAAAGGTAACTCTCTCCCCAGCCACCTGAAGCAAGCTGTTTAGACAACAGAAAATCACAAGCTTTACGAATACTAGAGTTATTTTTGAAGGTTCTGCCAGCAGCTATCAACCCTTTTATCCCAAACCATGTTCCATAGGTGAAGCAGACTCCCCAAGAACCATACCTATTGAAGGATTCATCAAATGAATCATGTAATCTAAAATTGGAACAACCTAACTTTCATAGGACATTCACGAGAATAAAAAGTAATCAAGTTTTAGCCACTTGAGGAACTTAACTAATCAAACTTGATGGAATAAATAAATAAAATAAAGATAGCATCCTTTCTTTTTTGATTGGCAAGTATAACCTTTACTAAGATGGAAGAGAGCAGCCAATTACAGCATAGAAACTAACAACCTCATTTTATTCAGCTAAAGAAAAGAAAGAAACACAGACCATGAACCATCACTTGCTTGTATCCCTTCAAGGAAGTTAGCAGCTCTTTTTATACAAATTTCTATTTCTTCTTGCCGATGCCTTGGATATAATTTCTTGAACAATGTCAATGCTTGAATTGCTGCTGAGGTGCATTCTACATAACTGCAATCCAACATGAAAACTCTCCATCAACACATAATGAAGTTTACAGATAAAATTAGAAAATGAGATACTGGTGTCTTACGGGTAATCAATAACAATGTCACCAAAAGTTTCAGCTGGGTTGATTAACTGAAATTACAAAAAGAAACAAAGTAGGATTACATTCCCAGTAAGGTAACTGTAGTAAGCTGCAACAATTTCAATAAACAAAAAGAAGATTTAGGACATTTTAATCAATTCACTTTCAGAATCACAACCCAACAAGAAATATTAATTGGGATAAGGCTCTGAAGATGGATTTGTTCAAAACATGGATCTTGATAGAGCAAAATGGCAAGATAGGATTCGTATGCCCAACCACAAATAGTTTGGACCAAGGCTGAGTTTATTTGAATTGGGTTGATGAGGATATGAACATGACAAGTACATTGTTTTCTTTTTTTTTTTTAATCAGTGACTTGACAAAATTTTATTAATAATAATTATTTCAACAACAAAATCTCATGGAGCTATCCCAGCACTGCTCCCCGCCTCCCCCACTGCAAACCAAAGAGACCAAGTAAAAGTTTAAATTAATGGATATCCAAGCCACTTCAACCAATGTCTGCTTACCTTGTTATGGACCAGTAAACCAACAAGAGAGTAAGCAAACCAAGGGATCCAAGAAGAATCAGCACCCGATGTATGAGACAGATATCTTGTCTCTCCAATGTGATGTCTGACATTCCATGGTCCAGCCATTTCACTCCACAATCAAGCTATTATGGTAGTCCTTTCAACAGTCAAATCACTAAGACCTGAAGAGTTTGCTAATCTCAATCAACTTTTTATTCTGGTCTGACTCACTTTCAAATTCCTTTTAGCCCTGAAAATGCCAATATAATGTTTCCTTCATGTTCACAGAAGACTCTTTGAAGACACTACCAATGCCTGATTCCCCAGGATTCCTGATGCTACAGCTATCAAAATTCAATTTTATCCTGTTCCGAGGAAGGAGACTTCATGATATATAGTATTTCTGTAACTAATGTCAAAGCCATCATTTCTCATCCTTTGATAATGTTGTTCTAGTAAAACAGGAGAGCTCTTTTGTCTTCACCCAATGGACAATACCAATTTCAATGATTCCAATAATTGAATATCTCGATTGATGTTTATTTATAAGATTCTGAGTTCCAGTTTTCCCAATGAAGCTCTGTTGGCATAAGTTAACACTAACTTCAAGCTAATGGATCCTGTGAGTTTGGGTTGAAGATGGGAGCAGTAATTTACTCAATTCCCAAACCATTTTTGATTGGCTACCCACTTTCTGAATTTCACAAGTAGGTCCTTGTTCAGTTTGAGATGTGAACACCATAGTTTGTTAGCTTAGTTCAAAGTAAAGGGTCTTTCATATCTTTGACGGAATACTTTGGCAAGGATAGGAAGCATATTGTCTGTTTCCCAGAGGGAAGGAAAGGTCAGGGTTGAAAGGAAGTTCATGGGGTATTAAGTGAACTGCTGCAATAGTTGGGTGCTAAAAGAGGAGAAAACTCAACATTAAAGGGAAAGACAAACAGTACTACTAGCTAGGTAGAGGATAGTAAGCAAGAGGCTCTAATAATGACAACTGGGGTAGGAAAACACAGAATGGGAGCAAATCTAAAGAGAGAAGACTGGTGAAATAAACTGATAGTTAAAACATCAACCTGTTATGAAGACTGGAGGAAAGTTGCAGAGTTGTTAACAACAAGGTTGAAGTTGAAGAGAATGTTCATCTTAACCCTCTTTGAGAAGGGTAAGGCACTGCGGATTTGCTTGAGAACAGAGTAGAAGTTGAGGCTTTAAACATCCAAGCCGAACTTGGGAATTTCACAATCTCAAGATGGTGTCCAGGGTCAAATTCCAGAGATTTCACTTGTGGAAGCAAGAAACTGCTGAAGCCATTGCACTGATGTGTGGAGGGTCACTTGGTGATGTTTTCTGGGGAGACCTCTACTCGGCTGCTATTTTACTAAATGGAGTAAAGCCAGAGGAGATACCACAGAAGATAAGAGGTGAGAGTCAAAGGGCAGTTCTATTCAGTTTGGCTGGCTTCATCCATTGAAGCTTTGCTCTGGAAAGAGGCTTATAGGGAGGGAGATAAGAAGGTTGAAGAAGAGCTGCGTGGCAATAAGGGATTGGCTAGTTCAAACAAGAATAGCGCTTACACTAAAATGAAAAAACACCCGTTGAAGAGACAAAAAGGTAGTAAACAGGGGGAAGGTTTTATGTATGCATGCAGAAGAAGAAAACAGATTGAAGGGTAGTTGGACTTTTGCACAGGTCATAGCTGGTGCCAATATAGAAGATTTAAACAACGAGGAGGTGTCGGTTCAGGGAAGAACCAAACCCAGGTCTGACAAAAACCAAACCGGGTGAAGGGCTGAACTCGTATGACTCCTTTAAAAGTCACGTGGCATCGCAGGTCCTTAAATCCAGGCCAGGAAATAAGCAAAAACCCATAAATATATTTGGGTTGAAGGCCAAAGGATTAAAAGGAGCCCACGAAAGCTCGATTAAAACGAAGTTAGAGGAACGCGTTAATCACTTAAAACTCACGTGTTTGAACAGGGGGGAGCTTTGCTAGACAGGACGGTGAGTCTATCATCGTCCTCCTCATGCCCTTCTGCTGGCTGCCACTTCTCAGGAGTGAAATCTACTGGAAGATTTTGTTTGGGGTGGATCAATTAATGATGATCTTAGAGGGGAAGCATACATTGTTTGGGATGGATCAATTAATGATCAGCAATCAACTGGGGGTTATTGTGTGTTTGACAGTGGGAACTTGGTTATATATAGAAGTAAACAAATTGTAGTGGTGAGATTCACACTGAAGCAGAACACAGGACAATGACACATGAGGTAGCTGAAGTTTCACGGATTTTCTTTCTTTGACATAGTTAGAAATTTGCTAGCCCTATGTCTCTCTGCTATGATAACAGGGAAGCAATTAACAATGCTCATAGTCTGATCTAACATGATAGAACTAAATGCAATGAATGGACAAACATTTCTTTCATGAGAAGCTGTAGAGGGCTAAGATTTTCTTCCTTTTGTAGCTCCAAAGGAGCAATGACTAATATATTTACTAAAGGGGTGTCTGCCAATATGTATGATTTTGTTTTTCAAAAGAAAAATAACTTAAACAAAATCATATTGTTTTTTCCGATATGAAAGTTGTAAAACAAAATCATACATATTGGCAGACACCCCCAAAGTGTAAATGGCTTGCATCATGCTAAATGTTGTGACAACTAGGATATGTATGATATATATACCCCACTTGAGGGGGAGTAGTTGTAAACCTTAGTGATATAGATGCAGAGATATTCCAGTCACTAGACCTTTTTTGACATTAATAAAATATAGTGTGTGGATCTGTAGGGCTCTGTCACTCACTGATTATACCCCAACTTTTATATCCTTTCACTGTTCTCTCTTTCTCCCCTACATTTTACATGAATACCCATAACATCAAACAGGTATTATTGATGATAATAATCAAGCTTAGGCTCCTAACATTCAGCTTAGTTGATTTGATTCTGCACATGTAAATAATTGCATGTTGTAGAAATGCAGAGAAATAACTTGTGCTGTTAGTAATTTATTGTGGTCCCCACTGCTGCTGTTAGTTGATTTTATATTTGTTGTCAGGCTGTTGTTAGGATGCTGTTAGCAAAGTTAGTTTATTAGTTATTATTTGTTATTTACCTATGTAAGCAGTAGGGACTTAAATGTGATTATCATCTTTTAATGTTATTATAAATAGATGAGTGGGGCGGCAGATATAGCTAATCACTCATTCTCTCTTCTTTCTTCTTCTTTCTTCCTCTTTCTTCTTCTTCTCTCTTCGCCAGTTCTCTTTCTTTTAAATCTGCATCAAGAATTGGACTGATCACAGTCCAGAATTGTCTACTTGGTATCAGAGCAAGATCTCGGGCTTGTCATGTGAGTCTAATCCAGACGACCACATGAGAATTGGCTAAGGCTGGAAGTTTAGAAAGATCATTCCTTTCAGCTGATTCTTGGAGGTTACCAGAAGTTTTTAGCAGCTGTCCAAAGATTGGAGAGTGTTCTTGGTGATCAGGAAGAATCAGAGAAGGTTAAAGGGATCAAGATTGAAGGTGGCGATCAGATTTCTGGGTAAGTTTTTCATCTCTTCTTGAGGCTGGCAGCAGTAAGAGATAAGTTGAACCTATTTAGAAGGGGCGGTTGAGCTTCCTTTTATTTTCTTAGTTTTTTTTAGGGTTTATTCTTAACTCTATGACCAGTTTTGACTGTGAACATTATTTGGAGGGTGCGGCTGAAAAAAATCTGATTTTGAACCTTTTTTTTGGAGGGTGCGCCTAAAAAAACTGACTGTGAATCTGTTTTGGAGGGTGCAGCTGAGAATTGCTGTTGTTTTCACAAGGTTTTCTCCAAGTGTCCTTAACCCTAAGACCAGACCTGATCTTTGATTGGTTCCTAAACCTGTTTTATCATTAAAAATTGTCTTCTGAGTGAATTCTAGACTTGTTTTCAGCCTCCGAATCTGTTTTTGAGGAGTCCCTTTACTGAGAACTAGTTTCTCTTGGTAAAACTACTACAGAAATGGCAGGAGCTGAGATTAAGACTCAAGGGGAAGGTTTTTTGGGGGCTGGAAATGTGAGGGAAAACAATTTTCAGATAACTACTGTTAAGTTTGATGGTTCTAACTACTTGGAATGGGCTCAGTCAGCCATGATGGCAATTGGGGGCAGAGGGAAGTTGGGCTATGTGAGTGGAGATGTAAAAACACCAGCCAAAAAAGACCCTTCATATGCCAAATGGGTTCAAGAGAACTATTTGGTCATGACTTGGCTGTGTAATTCTATGCAGCCTCATATTAGCTGAAATTATTTGTGGGCAAAAACAGCAAAAGAAATTTGGGAAGTGATGAAGGAAACCTACTCTTAGCCTCTCAATGTTGCTAGGGCCTATGAACTGAAATGTGAAGTAAATAATCTCAAACAAGGGGAGAAGCCGATTTCAGTTTACTTTTCAACTTTGAAATCATTATGGCATGAAATTGACCATCTAGAAACTATTGAGTGGGAGAGTCAGAAGGATGCACAAACCTATAGAAAACAAGTTGAGACCAATAGGGTTTTTGAATTCCTAGCTGGTCTGAATTCAGATTGATATTGTGAGACAACAATTACTCACAAGGGAGAGTGTGACCTTATCTCAGGCCTACTCTTTAGGGCATAGTGAGGAAAGTAGGAGGAAGGTAATGTTGCAGTTTCAGCCCATGGAATCAGCCTTGACAGCCGTAAAACCGAAATTTGGGGGTGACAAGGAAAGGGACACAAAGAAGAAAGATAAGAAGGACCTAGTTTGTGACCACTGTAAGAAGCCGAAGCACACCAAGTATACTTGTTGGAAACTTTATCCTCATTAAATACCAGCAAAGATCATAAATAAAAGGGGGAATGCCAATATGGCTATGACTACTGATGGTGCTTCCTCTTCCAGCACAAAAACCACATCCCTAGACACTCTAGCTGCTGTCCGGGCTGCTCTGACTCAATTAGAAAGTGAAGTTGGTACTTCAGCTCCGTCATCTCAGCCACTGATTACTCCCACCTCGGCATTTGCTCATTCAGGTACACGGGCATCAGCATATCATCTTTCAAGCCCAGGTAATAATGGACCTTGTTGGGTCATAGATTCAGGTGCATCTAACCACATGACAGGATTATCTTCTCTGTTTACTACTTATTGCTTATCCTCTGGCAGAGATAGAGTATCCATTGCTGATGGATCTCTTGTTCCCATTTCTGGGAAGGGAGACATTAGATTATTGGATGCCATCCCCTTGTCCTCAGTTTTGCATGTTCCTAAACTTAGTACTAACCTATTGTCAGTTAGTAGCATCACTAAAAATCAAAATTGTTTAGTGACTTTTTTCCCTAATCGATGTGTTTTTCAGGATCTAGAGACAAAGAAGGTGATTGGGACTGGTCGTGAGACAAATGGAATCTACCTGATTGGAGGGTGTCTACATGGGGAAGATAAAGAAGTTGGAAGGTCGTTTATTTCTCACTCTATGAGTCAGATTATGCTTTGGCATGATAGGTTGGGTCATTTGTCTTTTAAGTCTTTAAGAAGTCTGTTTCCCAGTTTATTTGAGTCAGTCCAGATGTCTAGTTTAAAATGTGAAAGTTGTGAACTCGCAAAGCATTGTAGAACAACTTATTCTTTGAGCAATAAAAGTACTATTCCTTTTGAAACTGTGCATACCGATGTTTGGGGACCATATCATGTCACTGCTATGGGTGGGGTACCGATACTTTCTACTGTTTGTTGATGACTACACTCGCTTTTCTTAGGTTTATCTTATGCGCTCTTGAGATGAGGTCCCTACTCTGACTCGGAACTTCCATCAAATGGTCCTAACCCAGTTTGGAGTCAAAATCAAGGTTTTCAAATCAGATAATTGCTAAAGAGTATTTTGCAAAACCCTTAACCTCATATTTCCTTGACCATGGGGTTGTTCATCAGAGCACTTGTCCCCGCACACCTCAGCAAAATGGGGTTGCTGAGAGAAAGAATAGGCATATATTGGAGGTAGCTAGAAGCATTATGCTAAACTCCAATGCACCTATACACTTCTAGGGGGATGCCATCCATACAGCTGTGTACCTCATCAACAAGGATCCTTCTCGGGTCTTAGACATGAAAGCTCCATTCAGCCTTTTGTACCCTGATAAAGACTTATTCACTATTCCTCTTAAAACTTTTGGATGTACTTGCTTTGTTCAGATTCTTGAACCTCATCATTCTAAGTTTGACCCTAAAGCTTCCAAATGCATATTTCTTGGGTATGCACAAAATCAAAAGGGATATTGCTGTATGAACCTACGTCTGGGAAACGGTTTGTTTCTATGGAGGTGACCTTCTCTGAGGATGTTCCCTACTATCACAGAGTTTCTTCTCAGGGGGAGAGTAGTGAGATGGGTTTACCCACATCAGAAATTCCTTTACTTGTCCCAATCATTGAAGGGGAGTGTAAAGAGGAGGATTGTCAAAAGTGTAGGGAGTTCAAAGTGTTTCATAAAAGGTGGAGACAGGTTGATTTCGGTCCTCAACAGTCCAAGCCAGCTCCAGTTTCCTCTACGGCTCCAAATCCAGGTACCATAGCTCCCTTACATCCTACTTCAAATGAGATGCCTCCTACTACTAAGCCTTCACCTCCTTTGGAAGATCTTGATCTTCCAATTGCTATCCGGAAAGGGAAACGCCTTTGCACTTCATCTACAACACATTGTATTTCTCAATATCTGACTTATGATCATTTGTCACCATCCTGTAACTCCTTTTTAGCATCTACCTCTGCCACTCCCATTCCTAGGACAGTGCAAGAAGCCTTGTCAATACCAGAATGGAAGGATGCCATTAAGGTATTGGTTGATCTTCTAAAAAATAATACATGGGAATTGGTTGATCAGCCAAAAGGGAAGAAACCGATTGAGTGTAGATGGGTGTTTACAGTAAAACATAATGTTGATGGTTCTATTGAGAGGTATAAGGCCAGGTTAGTTGCAAAAGGGTTTACACAGACTTATGGTATAGACTACTTGGAGACCTTTGCACCGGTAGCCAAGATGAATACTATCAGAGTGCTATTGTCCATTGCAGCAAAATTCTCTTGCCCATTGTTCCAAATAGATATTAAAAATGCCTTCCTCAATGATGATCTGCAAGAGAAGGTTTACATGGAGTTGCCTCCCGGATTCTACAGTATAGAAGCAGGGAAGAAGATTTGCCGATTGAATAAATCCTTATATGGACTAAAACAGTCACCAAGAGCATGGTTGGACAGATTTAGACTAGCTCTTGGAAAATTCGGCTATGCCCAAGCCCAATCAAATCACACCCTTTTCATTAAGAAGACAAACTCCTCCTTGACTTTATTTGCTATTTATGTGGATGATATTGTGGTGACAAGGAGTGATACCCATGAGATTGAATCTCTTAAACAACTGCTTCACAAAGAATTTGAAGTCAAAGACTTGGGAGAATTACGTTATTTCTTGGGTATTGAAGTAGCTCGGTCCAAACATGGAATTTTTGTCTCTCAAAGGAAGTATGTTCTTGACCTTCTTGAGGAAACTGGAAAGCTAGGGGTTAAACCAGCTAACACACCAATTGAACAGAACCACAAGGTTAGAGCTTAAGGTGGAAAGCCTCTTGAAGATAAGGCTATGTTTCAGAGATTGGTAGGGAAACTGCTTTATCTATGCCTCACCCGACCAGACATTTCTTATGCAGTCAGTGTAGTTAGCCATTACATGCATTCTCCCACAACCACTCATCTTCTTGCAGTTGAGAGAATCCTTGCTTACCTAAAGAGATGTCCAGTCAGAGGCATACTCTTCAAAAATAATGGTCACATGAAGATAGAAGTATACACGGATGCTGATTGGGCGGGGTGTATTGATGACAGGATGTCTACTTCTGGGTATTGTGCTTTTGTAGGGGGCAACCTAGTTTCTTGGAGTAAAAAACAAAGTGTTGTAGCTCGTTCCAGTGCTGAAGTAGAATACAGATCTATGGCACATGGTATGGCTGAAGTATTATGGTTGAAGTCCTTGTTTGAGGAACTGTGAATTACTTATGAGAAACCCTTGATGCTATATTGTGATAATTAGGCTGCTATCAACATTGCCCACAATCCATTACAGCATGACAAAACTAAACATATTGAGGTGGATCAACATTTTATCAAAGAGAGAGTTGCCTCCCAAGAAGTGTCTTCCATATATTGCCTCCGATATGCAACTTGTTGATCTCTTCACCAAGGTAGTTACAAAAGCTAAGTTGGAAACAGATTTACACAAATTGGGAATGATAAACATCTATTCCCATCTTGAGGGGGAGTGTAGAGATGCAGAGAAATAACTTGTGCTGTTAGTTATTTATTGTGGTCCCCACTGCTGCTGTTAGTTGGTTTTATATTTGTTGTTAGGCTGTTGTTAGGATGCAAAGTTAGTTTATTAGTTATTTTTTGTTATTTGCCTATGTAAGCAGTAGGGACTTAAATGTAATTATCATCTTTTAATGTTATTATAAATAGATGAGTGGAGCGGCAGATATAGCTAATCACTCTTTCCCTCTTCTTTCTTCCTCTTTCTTCTTCCCTCTTCGCCAGTTCTCTTTCTTTTAAATCTGCATCAAGAATTGGACTGATCACAGTCCAGAATTGTCTAGTCATGTGATAGATTAGATGATGCTAAAACATACTAATTGTTAGCATCTGAGTGTTTCCATGTGTTTGAGGGTAGGTGAGCAGCTTGTGACGAGTGTCACCTCTGTTTATTAAGTAAACCTATGGAGCAATTTCTTGCTAAGATAGGTAACAAAAGACAATAAATTAATGACAAGCATGGTAACGTTAAGTATTAAAAGGAAAAGCTACCTCCAACCAAGGGTAAGATCTTGTAAGCTCATAGGTTGCAAAGCCACCATGTCCATTCTGCAGCATTACCAAAACAAGGAAATATCAGTGAAATAATTACATGTTTTTACCTCAAAAAAATGACTGGAAGCTCAAGAAAGTGACATGACATGAGGGAGGTAAGAGAGAATGCAGGAAAAAAATAGAGCAAATTAACAGAATTTCCACTATAATATATGTATATGTACAGTTGTAAACATGCACTTAAATCCTATTAGTAGAAGAAAAGAGGAGAAATAAGGAAGAAGAAGAGAAGAGAAAGGTTTGGAGAGTTCTAAATCTGTTTGGTGGTGCCAGCTTATATTATTATATATAGGGTGACCATAATAAAAAGGGAAAAGACCCTTATGCCCCTATTGTAATCAAAGTACATAAACAATGATAAAAAAACTATTTTAACCAGACCAAACAGACCCTAACTAAGAAGAATAAAAGCATAAAATGTAAAGTAACATTCCAACACTCCCCCTCAAGTTAGGACATAGATGTCAATCATGCTCAACTTGTCACACCAATTATTATGCCACACATGATGAAGGCCTTTGGTGAAGATGTCTGCAAGTTGTTCTTCTGAACTGACATATGGAGTTCACACTTCTCCATTCACAAGTTTTTCTCTAATAAAATGCTTATCCACTTCAATATGTTTTGTTCTATCACGGAGGACTGGGTTAGCAACAATGTTGATAGTAGCTTTATTGTCACAATAGAGTGACATAGGTTGTTAACTGCAAAACCCAATTCACCTAACAAGTTTTTTATCCATATGATTTCAGCAACTCCATGAGACATAGTTTTGTATTTTGCTTCAGCACTAGACCTAGCCACCACACTTTGCTTCTTGCTTCTCTAGGTGACTAAGTTTCCTCCCACAAAGGTACAATACCCATTCGTAGACTTTCTATCATCGATTGCTCCTGCCCAATCAACATTTGTATACACTTCAACCTTCAAATGCCCATTTCTGGAATAGGCAATATTAGGCCTGGTCATAGACAAATATAAAAGTCTCCCTACAAGTCTCTGGAACTTCTTCACATCTTTCAAAAACTCCCCATGATTGTCTCCCAGCTGATGGTTGGGTTCAATGAGTGAATCAATTGGCTTCACCCCTAACTTGCCTACATCCTCTAATAGATCTAGTACATATTTTCTTTGGGTCCTTTTGAGAGCGGGCGACTTCAATCCCAAGGAAATAACATAAGGGGCCTAGATCTTTCACCTTGAATTGAGTGGCTAAGAATTTCTTCAGCTTATGTATTTCACTCTTCCAGTCTCTTGTGATCTAGGTCATCAACATACACAATTAAAGCTGCAATTTTCCCTTCACCTTTCTTCACAAATAGATATGATCTGGCTGGCATTGTTTGAACCCCATATGCTGTACAACTAAGTGAAACTTACTAAACCAGGCCCGAGGAGATTGTTTCAACCCATATAATGATTTTTTTTAACCTGCACACCTTCTACTCACTACCTTTGACACAGAAACCTAGAGGTTGAGTCATGTACACCTCCTCCTCTAGGTCACCATTCAAGAATGCATTTTTAATATCCAACTAGTGAAGTTCCCAATCAAGATTAGCTGCCAATGAAAGGAGGATTCTAATAGAATTCATCTTGGCTACTGGAGCAAAGGTCTTTGCATAGTCTACTCCATATACCTGTGTAAATCCTTTGGCCACCAATTTGGCTTTGTACCTTTCTACCATACCATCAACCCTATGCTTCACTGTGAACACCCACTTGCATAGTCGACATGTAAGGCATTAATTTCTTCCTTCATTGCATATATTCATTCAGGTTTGGATAAAGTTTCTGCCACATTCTTAAGAACAGAAACACCGTCAACGAAGGAAAGGAACACACGATATGAAGGTGAAATCAAGGTTCAAAGTATTGACACGTATTGGCCCGTATTGGCCGATATGTATCGTGCTGATGGCTTCCCGATACACCCCTACAAGGGTTGTATCGGGTCAAACCATGATTTAGAGGGTAGCCAGGACTTAAACTAAACCCTCTGAACCGGTTTTGAAAAAATAAATAAATAAAACAATAAAAAAAAAGCACTGATACATGTCGATACGCCCTACCGGCGTATTGGCCTGTGTCGATACTTTGAACCTTGGGTGAAATATGATCATAGGACACAAAGTGAGAGATAGGATGATTAGTAGTACAAAATCTAACACCCTTTCTCTTAGCAATAGGAACATCAGGATCATTAATAACAAGGGGATCAATATCAAGAGGTTCAGGCATATCAATGGGAACAAGTGTACCTAGCTGATGAGGAGGATCTGCCTCTAGAGAGTTTGATGATGTTGGTTGCATAGTTTCAAGTTCCACGGCTCATGAACTCCGTTGGCTCTTATGGTGGCGGAGAAATATACGAAATGGAGGAGGATCAAGAAGAGGAGGTAATTGAGTCTGAGCCTGGGTGTGTTTCTCCTCCTCAACCCTACTCCCCCCTGAGGAGAAACCGAAAAAAAATGTTGACTCTCAAAGAAGGATACATCCATGGAGACATAGTACTTGCGTGAGGCAAGATCATAGCAACGGTAACCCTTTTGAGATAAAGGGTAGCCAAGAAAAACACAAAGAATGGCACAAGGACCAAACTTACCGAGAGTAGGGGACAAGTCATGAACAAAGCAACAACACCCAAAGATACGCATTGGAATAGGGGACTGAGGAGCCATAGAAAACAAAAGTTGATGTAGGGCCTTATACTCTAGTAACTGAGATGCATACGATTGATGATATATGCAGCACACATAACAGCATCCATCCAAAAACATTTTGAAACATTCATATGGAGTAATAAACCACGAGCTACTTCGAGAAGATAACGATTTTTCCTTTCAACGACACCGTTTTGCTAGTGTCCTAGCACAAGAGCTCCGATGAAGAGATCCACACAAAGCAAAGAACTCTATGAGATCACTATGGAAGTAAAAATATGAATCTCAATTTGGAATTGAGTAAAAATCATGCATTGAAAATCTTTCACCATCTTTGGCACTTCATCTCTAGATCGCATAGGATAAACCCATGTATATCTAGAGTAGTCACCAATCAAAGTAATGAAATACTTATATCTAGTCTCAAAAAGTAGAGTAACAGGGCCCCAAACATCAAAATAGACAATATGAAAAAGAAATTTAGATCTTTTATTTCTTAAAGGAAAAGAATTTCTACAATGTTTGCTCAATTACATGTTTGACACTGTAACTCACTAACTAACAAAGACTTAAATAACTCAGGAAACATAAGTTTTAAAGACTCAAACGAAATATGACCAAGACAACTATGCCATAATTAGGCATGACATCTCACTAGATGAACTTAAGGACTCTATAGCCACAAGATCGGCTTTATTCTCCAACATGTAGAGACCATCCACTATGCTTCCTCTACCAATCGTCTTCCCCGAGGCCAAATCCTGAAACACATGAAGGAAAGGTCACTGAACAATTCAATGAGTGAGTAATACTATTAATGGAAAGTAAATTGATAGGTAATTTAGGAACATGCAACAGATTAGAGAGGGTAAGACCGAAGGGAAGGGAGATGGTTCCTTGACCAACTATGGTGGAGAATGATCCATCAGTTGTTCTCACCTTATCTCTCCCGGAGATGAGGTTATATGCCTGAAATAAAGTTGACTTACCAGTCATGTGGTTTGAGGCTCCAGAATCAATTATCCAAGGGGAATTAGATGTATGAGATGACACATGGAAAGTAGTGGCAGTGTTACCCATTTGGTGAAGTGTCCTACCATATAATTCCAAGTGGTCATGAAAAGAGTTGATAATCTCTTCCTTGGGGTCAAAACTAGAGTGTCGCTCCTGGGGTACCATGGGACTAGTCTCTTGAGATGCCACATTTGTTGAGTCATATTTCTTTTGACTCTGTTGGGTTGGCTTCTTACTCTGATCAAATGCTGGTTTTTTATTCAATTCCTGAACCCATTTAGGCTTGCCATGGAGTTCCAAACATGTGTCTCTAGTGTGTCTGGACTTCTAACAATGAGGAGTGCACCAAAGCTTGTCTTTGTTATCCACTCTCTACTATGAATCACCCTTCTTAAAGGAACCTGTGACATTTGAATTTGTACCTCCTCGAACTGCTAGTGCAACCGGCTCCCCCTCTGTACAAATCATCACACTTCTACTCTCTTCAGACTGAACTAAGGCATAAACTTCCTGAACTAAAAGGTAAGTTCTTACTTCCTAAGATTTGTACCCTCATGGACTCATATGTAGGATTCAGCCCCAAAAGAAAAGCAAATACTTGTTGTTGGAAGGCAAGTGATTTGTAGGCCTTTGCATCTTCATCACACTTCCAATTCATATTTTGACAATGATCCAGTTCCTTCCATATTGATGTCAGATCTAAGTAGTACACTGAGAGACACTTCTCCCCCTACTTGCAAGTGGAGGATTCAGCTTGTAATTGGTATATCTTTGCATAGTGCCTCTGCTCTGAATATGTAGGTTTCACTTGTTCTCATCATAGTTTTCAAGGTGCCAAGGCGAGGCTAGGCGACTGGGGGGCGCCTTGTTGCCTAGTCGCCTAGGCAATGGATTTTTTTATGTTAAAAACATAGATCCTAAGGTAGTTCCCTAGGTACCATAACCATATTTCTTTAATAATTATTCATGATTTTCATAAGTATAAATTTCATATTAAAGTATAGAAAATCAACATATTCATGAGAAGAAAAGGAAGAAGGAAAATAAAATTCAAAAAAATAGGGGCTGAACCCTTATTTTTGTTATAGGAAAAGAAGGAAATAAAAAGTATTGATAGTAGTAGTAGTAGTAGTAGAAGAAGAAGAAGAAGAAGAAGAATATATGGAAGAGGAAAATGTGCTGATTAGATAAAATTTTTAGTTCTTCCTTACTTATTGGTGCAGGTTTTTAAGTCTTTGAGGTTTCAATACAGCATTTAGCAATGTTTGTGTTGATTAAACCCTAATAAGTAATAAAATAATAAAAAGAAATTAGTATACAAACACACAAAATGATTATTTTAGTTTAATAATGTCTATTCTATAATTATAATCTCAAAAAAGAATGAATAAAAAAGTATTTTATAGTAGGAAGTAGAAAATTGTTAGGCGATTAGGAGAGGCGAGCCTCAAAGGGCATCTTGTTGCCTAGGCGTCACGTTGACAACTATGGTTCCCATATTTCACAAGCTGTTCCAGCCCGCATAAACGTCTTCCTTACTTGTGGCAGCATGGAAACCAAGAGATATGACATCACCATACTATTTTCTTGGTCCCCACCTGTCATGTTCGGCACTTCCAATCTTTGGTTCCTTCACTTTACCATTAATATACCTTATTTTCTCACTAGAAGTAATGTAAAGTTTAATTCCCCTAAACCATTCAAGGTAGTTTAGTCTATCAAAGGGAATTATAGCCATGGGGAAATTCATATCCACCCCCCCCCCCCACTCATTCCATTTTGACCTCCTGAAATGCCAAAAGTTGCAGAATTCTCAAAGGACATGATTCAAGCACGTTTCAGTTTCAACACACACCTTACGATCTATCCTGATTCCTGACACCCAAAAAGGTCTTAAAAACACATTAGAGATGCAGTCCACATGCACACACTCTGGTCTGGACACAATCTGAACAAAGACCAGCCCCAATTCTCCAAAAGCAAAATATTTTTTAGGTTGATTTCAGCACTGCACAGGTTTAACAGTTGAATCACAGTCACAGTCTACCAATTTTCCAGTCATCTAAACACACCAACTACTAGGAGAGATCATAAAACAGTTGAGTCACACCAAAACAAGGTAAAAACAGGTCATTTGTGACTTACAAGTATCCCATTTTCAGGTACAGGATCACACAATCCACAGAAAAAAGGCCTGAACTTCACAATTCCTCTGACAGCATTAAGCAGTTTTGTTTCATAGGGTTTTTTTTCTTGGTACACGACCAAGAGAAAAGAAAAAAAAAAAGGTAAAACAACCTTGTACCAGTTGTAGGTCAACTTCTCTGATATCGTTGAAGAAGACAGCAAGATAAAGAAGAAAGAACTTGTTCAATCTGCTCTCAGACCCAGTAGAACTGCTCTAATACCATATTAGCAGAAGAAAAGAGGAGAAATAAGGAAGAAGAGGAGAGAGAGAGAGAGAGAGGAGAGGAGAGAAGGGTTTGGAGGGTTCTAAATCTATCTCGCGGCACCAGCTTATATTATTATATAGGGCGACCATAATTAAAAGGGAAAAGACCCTTATGCCCCTGCTGTAGTCAAAGTACATAAACAATGACAAAAAAGCTATTTTAACCAGACCAAACAGACTCTAACTAAGAAGAATAAAAACATAAAATGTAAAGTAAACATTCCAACAAATACATATTAAATAATTTTTATGCATTTACAATTATGCTGTTAATAATTCATTGCATTCTTATGTACTGGAGCTGAAATCACCTGTAGGGAGAGAATGACATTTACAGCATCATATAACCGCTTTGCATTTAATGGTTCACCAACAATTTCAGGTGGAGATTTTGATAATAAGAGAGCAGCCTGGAAGAGTAGAGAAAATAGATAAGGAAAAGGGTCAGTAAATACAATATTCGTTTTTCTTCATTTTGTTAAATAGTATACCTTCAATCCTTCTGCTGTGCAGTCAGAGATGGGCCATCCATGATCAGCAGTTGAAAAAGGCCATGCACCTTTAGAAATATGACGATACCAGTAACTTAGATCACCAGGGCAGTCTTCTAGAACCTTTAAAGAGAAGGAAAATACTGATAAGACAAGGGGGAAGAAAAGGAAAAATGAGGAGGGTTATGACTGAGATATTAGGAAGTGCTGTCTGGAGAAGAAATGCACATAAAACCTGTGAATTTTTAATGTATTCATGTGCTTTTTTAAGGGTTGGACCATATTCTTCTATAAGGCTAGATGAGATAATTGCTTGAACAGCAAAAGCGGTGTCCCATAATTGACTTCCATTGTAACCCTGTTTTATAATAGACATAGCAGTCAGAAACTAGAATCTTGATATTCTCTAAAAAAGCAACAGTACATGGTTATAGATTCCAAAGGCTTTGAATTTCAGCCATCCTAGAAGGAATGGGCACTCCTAAATAAGTCATGCCTACACCTGCATTTTCATTCCGTCCTCAGCAAGCCATAAATAATCATAGATTCTCAGGAGGTGCAATTTGAATGCCTCTGAGTTTGGATCTTCCACCCAGCAGCAAAGCATATTTAGCACCTGCATATTGCAGGATATGGGGAAAAAGCTTAATGTAATAGGACTGTTCATATCAATTTATCAAATAGATGGGAGAAGAAAATATATTCAAGAATTATTGTTTTGCATGCTTAGGAAGAGAAGTGGAGGATCTTCAGAACATATGACGTAATGATTAACAAAATAAATTTATCTAATGCTACTTCTTAAACAAATCAGTTGTAAGGCCAGCTATGCTGTATGGAGAGTGTTGAGTAGTCAAGAAACAACATGTCCAAAATGAATGTGGTAGAAATGTAAATGGTAAGATGGATTTAAAGGAAAATTAAGAAGAACAGGATCAGAAATGAATTCATTTACCAGAACCTAGGAGTAGCTCCAAATGAGGGAAAGTAGACTAAGATGGTTTGGTCGCATAAAGAGAAGACCATCTACGGAAACACTAAGAAGAATGATCTGTAACAAGTTAAAGGGGCTAGAAGAGCTGGGGTGCCAGGGGCAGGCCGAAAAAGATATGGGTTGAAGTAGCCCAAAAATGATTTTAAGAGCTCAAAATTTTTACAGTGGATATAACACTGAACAGAATTGAATGACAAAAGAGGATTCATGTGGCCAACCCCATATGGTTGGGAGTTGGGACAAGGATTAGATGATGATGATTACAACTTCTTAACCAAAGCAATCACATTGTTCAGATAGTAAATGAACAATATATGAATACTCTCATTTAATAAACATAAGTAAACAATAAACAAGCTATGATACCCAAATACCAGTACATAGGTGTCATGTTGTATTGAATACTTCAATTTTTAGTCTGAATTTCAATCTTACACCTTGTTGTGCCCCAACTGTATCTGTGTAATAATGCAAAGAAATACAGCATAAGTAGCTTTCCATGCATACCTTGTTTACAGGTCCTATACATACATATCGTGTATTATCATCTTCATAGTGTATATGTTGAATTGCAGTCAGAAGAGCCTTCTCTCTCAACCTTTTTCCTGGCCAACACTTGAGAATGGGCTCAACAACCTTGTGAAGAGATGCCCATAGAATGTCTTGTACTAGTGGATGTGGGTAGTACAGATCCTCCTGCAACATTAATGTAATGAACCCTTATGTATAAACAAAAAGAAATCAAGAATCATGAAACAAACGTGAAATTAATTCTTATGAGGAAACATATGATATCAATAACTATAAAAGAGTGTGTAAGGTCTAGGGACAGAGGACCTGTTGACAGGGGGCCCCATAATTTTCTACCTGTCCCATGTTACAGTAATCAGGAAAAAGCATTAAATGAAAACATTGGGTATGCTCAAATCAACATAATGTGATCTACAACCATCTGATTTCAGCTAGGGATGCAAACAGATCGGATCAGATCAGATTTGAATCATGGTATATCCGAATCCAGTCAGATACTATGAAGAGCAGATCCAATCCGGTCCAATCCGATCTCACAAACAGGGATTTGAATTCGAATCCGATGATGAAGTCAGATATTCGGATCTGATCCGATCCGATTAATTTTTTTAAAAATTAATAAATTATTAAAAGAAAAATAAAATATAACAATTTAAATAAAGAAAAACAAAAAAATACAAGTACCTTTTCAAATATTTTCATCATATATATACATGTTTTTTATAAAAAAATAAATAATATAACAAATTTACAAAAATGCAATATAAATAATATATTTATAAATAAATAACATATATATCGGATCAATAGGGGTGATCCAAATTCGATCCGCTTTCTGATCAGATCCTATTATCTGATCCGATCCAAAGATCCAAAATGGGGATATCCGAGTCCAACAAAATGAATTCAAACTTCAGGTTGGATCAGATCACAATCTGATCCATTTGCACCCCTAATTACAGCATCATTGTTCAGATTCCTTTTAAGTTTGAGAGTAACTTATCTCCATTTTACAATCAAAATGAGTAAAATTTGAAAGTTATAATCTTCTCTTCATGCCAATTTTTGGCCCAAGTGTTCTACCAGGTAGAATCCATCCATAGTAGGCCTGAAACATGAAACAGGGGCCAGGACCCAGTCATGGAGCCAGACCCATATATGGGTCCTATGTTCCCAAGCCCAAATTTTGGTCTTTCCTCAAAGTATATCAAACCATCAAAAGAGAATGAATATTATTTTAGATTGCAAATAGAATTTTAAAAACATTCATGTAATTATGTATAATTGTAGCTGTTTAAAGGTGTTAAAGTGATTGCCTAGCCAACAAGGCATCCACCAAGATAATATTTTTATGTAAAATACCTATCTCAGCTGTTTTCCTAGTTTTTTCTGAAGCTGCAAGTGGCAAACATTGAGAAAAAACTAACATGAAATCAAACATTATAAGAAATAAATGATAATTTGGAGGATTGGGATAACGTAAATAACTTGGATGAAGATTAAGTTGGTTGGGAGTGTCCAGCATCAAGATAGGTYGAGAGGAGATGGATGGGAATGAAGTACTTGTGGACAAGTTTTGTTAGTTAGGGAAATTGTGTTCCTATTGGAGATTGAGATAAGGCATAAATTGGAAGGGTACATTCACTGAACAGGAGGATGTAAGAATAGTGTTGACAAGAAAAAGGCAATATGTTATTTGTAATTTTGTACATGGGCTGCTAGTTAGGCACCTAATTAAAGGAACCTTTGTAATTTTATCATTTAAGATAAAAAAGTTAATGAAAGAAGGGTATGAAATGAGTGACAGAATTCTGACACCCTTTTATCTCTTCTTCTTTCTCCTTCCTTCATCTTTTCTATTATTTTCCAACTAACTTTTTGCAAATATTTCACAACTAAAAGGACAGGAGGAGGTAGAACAGGAACACAAAGCATTTCAATAAGTTTCATTTCTTTATTATTTATAATGAATTTCAAGGAGATGTTGAGGAAGAGGGAACTCGAAAGGATATTTTAATGATTCTTGACAGTAAGGCCGACTAGAAATAAGAGAGAAAGAGAAGAGAAGAAGAGAGAAGATAGAAGAGAAGAGGAGAGATTGGCGACAATAGAATAGTGCTGGCAGCGCCAGCTTCTATTAATCTTTATAGGGCGTCTAAAATAAAAGGGAAAAAGACCCTTGTGCCCCTGCTGTAAGTGAAGTACAATAACTGAAAATAAAAAGGCTTTAAATCAACCAAACAGACCCTAACAAGACAGAAAATAATAAACAAGACATAAAATAAACTATTTCAGCACTCCCCCTCAAGTCGGAGCATAGATGTCAATCATGCCCAACCCCAACATGTCACACAAAACATTATGCCGCACATGTTGAAGACCCTTGGTAAAGATGTCTGCGAGTTGTTCCTCTAAGCTGACATATGGAGTGCACACTTCACTCACAAGTTTTTCTCTAATAAAATGCTTGTCCACTTCAATGTGTTTCATCCGTCCTATCATGGAGGACTGGATTAGCAGCAATGTTGATAGCATCTTTATTGTCGCAATAGAGTGACATAGGGTTGTTAACTGCAAAACCCAGTTCACCTAACAGGTTTCTTATCCACATGATTTCAGCAACTCCATGAGACATAGCTTTGTATTCTGCTTCAACACTGGATCTAGCCACCACACTTTGCTTCTTACTCCTACAGGTGACCAAGTTGCCTCCTACAAAGGTACAATACCCACTGGTAGACTTTCGGTCATCGACTACCCCTGCCCAATCAGCATCAGTATATACTTCCACCTTTAAATGTCCATGTTTCTGGAACAACAAACCAGCTCCTGAAAATTTCTTGAGGTATCTAAGGATTCTCTCTACAGCTTCAAAGTGAGTTGTCCTAGGGTTGTGCATGAACTGACCAAGGACACCCATTGCATAAGCAATATCAGGTCTGGTCATAAACAAATATAAGAGTCTCCCTACAAGTCTAAAACTTCTTCACATCTTTCAAGAACTCCCCCTGTCTGTCTCCTAACTGATGGTTAGGTTCAATTGGTGAGTTAATTGGTTTCACCCCTAACTTGCCTGTATCTTCTAGTAGATCAAATACATATTTCCATTGGGAAATAAAGATGCCCTTTTGAGAGCAGGCAACTTCAATTCCAAGGAAATAATGTAAGGGTCCTAGATCTTTCACCTCAAATTGAGTGGCTAAGAATTTCTTCAGTTTTTGTATTTCGGTCTCCCAATCTCCTGTGATCACTATGTCATCCACATACACAATTAAAGCTGCAATTTTCCCTTCACCTTTCTTCACAAACAGAGTGTGGTCTGACTGGCATTGTTTGAACCCCATCTGTTGAACTGCTAAGTGGAACTTACTAAACCAGGCCCGAGGTGATTGAGTCATGTACACTTCCTCTTCTAAGTCACCATTTGAGAAAGCATTCTTAATGTCTAACTAGTGAAGTTCCCAGTTAAGATTTGCTACCAATGAGAGAAGAATCCTGATAGAGTTCATCTTGGCTATTGAAGCAAATGTCTCTGCATAGTCTATTCCATATACCTGTGTAAAACCTTTTGCCACCAGCCTGGCCTTGTACCTTTCAACAGTTCCATCAGCCTTATGCTTCATTGTGAACACCCACTTGCATCCCACTGGTTCCTTCCCTTCAGGAAGATCCACCAATTCCCAAGTGTCATTTTTGTGCAATAATTTCTTCCTTCATTGCATCTGTCCATTCAGGTTTGGATAAAGCTTCTACCACATTCTTAGGAATAGGGATACTATCAACAGAAGAGAGGAATGCACGATATGAAGCTTCTGCCACATTCCATGTCTTTCATATCGTGTCTAACCTAGGCAAAGCTGGCAATCTCTTCCCACTTTCTCAGCAAGTCATCTAGAGTGAAATCAGTGAATAAACCTGAGGACTTTAACCATTGTTTCGCCCTTAAGTGGATCAAAAAGAAATTTCATTAAAATGAAAAAAGAAGTACATCTCAACATCATTGGTTGTCAAGTTGACACACCAAGAACACATTAGAAATCAAACAAAAAAAGAGTCTTCAATACAAGGTTGTAAATCAAGGGTGCTCCAGAATATTTCCACCAAGTCAGCTTTGGATCTTTTTGAGCTATTCTATTACCAATTTGGAATCTCCTTCAATGATCAAACAGCTAATGTTTAGCTCCTTAGCCCTTTTTACACCTTCCATAACAGCCAAAATTTCAGCTCAGAGTGAGTCCCCTTCCCCAATTGGGCCTGAAAAGATAGCAATAACCCACCTTCTACACCATAAAGTATTTACTAGATGGTTCTATTGAAAGGCTTAATGATAAACTTGTAGCAAAAGTGTTTACTCAAACATATGCTGTTGATTTGGCTAATATTTCTTGTGGCTAAAATTTCATCTGTGAGTTGGCAGATTTGTTGTCTAAAGCTCTAAGTAAACCAAGGCTGGAATTTATTGCTAGCAAGCTGGGATTATATGATGTATACTCTTCAGCTTGAGGGGGAGTTTTGAGAATAGTTGGTAGATGGGACAGAATAGTATGGGCCATGGGTAACTAAGTCTTTTATTACTGTAACTTAAAGAGGGGTGGGTTAGTCACTTTATATTCAATTGCTAAACAAGGGTCCTACTGTAATTTCATCATGATTCTTATGATCCATGAGTTTAATATAAATAATACCCTAGCCAACTGGGAGATCATTCTTTTCTCTCCCAATCAGCAGTGGTGTTTTTACTCTAAACCTGCTGCCACTTTTTCTCTCTATTCTGCACAACCCATTTTTTGCACAAATTATAAATTCACAATTCATGTCAAACTTTTTTCTTAACAGCTCAAGGTTCTTTAGTCACATATTACGAATCTGATAGTCATGTTGATTTTGGTGTTCAGACACATACAAATGGGTTGTTTACCCATTTTAGAGTTCCCATGTAGCATAACTCCAACCTGAACTTTATACAAAAAAGGTAATTACCCAATTTTGGTCCCAGCTAACTGGGGCCTTGGGAGGGGGATTGTATAAGAACCTAAACTTTGACAATTTTTTTAAAACAAATTGGCCATTCTGGGACACAAACCTGCAATTTTATGCTTGTCAACCCAAAATTTTACCATTACACCAAGCATTGGCCCCTACCCAGAGATGTTACAAAAGGCCATTATCTATGAAGCACAATGATGAGCAATCAGGAAATGTGACAAGCATGACTAAGTTGACAATGTTGATATAAAAGTCTATAAAGATATAAAGGGATAATAATATCAGAAATGAATATTGTGAAGGCTAAACGGTTCAGTAAATTAAGATGGTGGCCATGTGCGCAAAGATATCGCACTGTCAAGTTTGATTTGGAACAAGTTGAATGCTCTAGGACAAGGAAAATCTGTAAAGGACATGGCATGAGACAGTGAAAACAGTTTTAAAAGAAATATTCTTTGACAAAATTTATGAACCTATAAAGACTAATATTGTGAAAGATTTATTGGAAGACCAGAAAGAAAGATATAAAAGCATTAAGTTATAAACCCTTGCTTTTGCATGTGCTAGATATTACAAACCTTTGCACATAGATTGCATGCTTGATTCCAATCTACTTCATGATAGGGTACAGTATATAACTCTTTTCTCAAAGATAAAACTGTTGGTGTTATTGGACCAACAAATCTCTTCCCATATAAATATGACATTGGCAAATAAACCATCCGGCAGTGACACCACATTCTTCCTGAATAACATAAAAAGACAAAAAATAAGAAAAAGAAAAAGCATTTAAAACTGGTGCTATAAATTAGATTGTCAGATTCACGTATAGAACTAGAAGCTAGTGACCAATTAAGACACCACGTTTGGTTGCATAATACATGAGCAACATGTCTGTTGAGGACAACACAATGAACGCTGCAATATTTCTTAAAGGAGAAAATTGCCACCACTACCAAACCCAAAGCTTCTGTATATGTGGTGGCAGTTTCTGTATCTAAATGCAATAATCTCAGTTACCCTGTCACATTCCCATTGGATAGGAAGAGTTCGCTCTTTCTAAAATCAGTATCAAACCAACTGATTCAAGCAGTACTTTAAATCATCCAAGGAATGGTTAGTGCTCAACCACAACTAATAGGCAGTGATAAGATTAGTTTATGGTCATGAAAAAAAAAACTCCAGTATTCTTTATTTAGGGACCTTGATGGGATGCTTTAAACACCTATTTGTTTCCAGTAAAGCCATCGGGCAAATTTGCCAAAGGTTTTTGCTCAGAGGTTGCACACATGTGAAATTAATTAACATCATGACATGCTGCAGTACAGGTGAATGACAATGACAATTATTTCCATACATGTGCATAGTGTCAAGAACAGCTTCATCTGCTTTAAGTAATTAAGCTACTGAGATAGAGATGTATTGATGCTTTTATTTTACAGAGTGGGAGATGTATTCATGCTTCTATTTTACAGGAGCTTCCGGGTTCTTAATTCATGATTTACTCTTAGCAGGTAATATTTCCACTTTCCAGTTTTTTTTATTCGTAACTTTGAACTTTATTAAATATGTAAAAGAATGACATATACAAAGTGTAGGGCAGATTAATTAGGCTAGCAGAGCTGCCACCTACCCTTTTCCAGCTGAGTAGATAAATTCAATTGCATTGTTGTCCCCAGTAGAGATTATCCCTATTCACTCTGTCTTGCAAGTAAATCAGCTAAACTACTTGCTGCTTGTGTCCATGGCCGTGCTACTTCCAAATCTCTAGCCATCACAACTTGGCTTGTCTTAAGGTATACTTGTGCTGCCATGTTACATTGAAGTTGTTTTTGAACCATCTTATCACAGATTTGGAGTCTCCTTCAACCTCTGTATTATGCAGAATTAGACTCTTGAAAATCTTTAAACGTTGAAGGACAGCTTGCATTTGAGCTCTTGTGGCTCCCTCTCCTATTGGGCCTGAGTAGAGAGATAAGAAAAAAACTGAACTATCTCCACTTTCCAGTTTCATTTGATGTAAATCATTGCTCTTGTGGCACATTTCTAGTTATTTGGTCTTGCCTGTTTCTTAATAATTACCTTTATTTTTTCCCTCTTTGATTATTATCATGTCAAAATTCACCATTCTAATTAAATCCTTTAGCTTCATAGTTTACTGAACTGACATGATCAACTATCCACTTTTGCAAACTCCTGACCGAGTACAAATATAATTGACATGAAACACATTGTATACTTTGAATTCTCCTTGCTGATTTCTTATGACCAATTCTTGTATTCTCTTTTTTATTTTTTAATGAAATTTTCATTTACCATGAAAAAAAGAAAGTGTATATTAGATATTTAAGCAAAATCTCTGTTTACACTAGATTCAAAGAAATGAAAATTGAATGCAAATCAGAGAAAAATTCACTACACACCTGGATGGAAAGGAAGAAAATAAGGGAGCAGCCATATCTCAGGAGGTAGTGGATTGTTCCCAGACCATTCAAATGCTCCAAGTACCTAATATCATTATAGAGAAAAAATATACATAAATGCCCCAGAATACATGCTAGCATGAACACAACTGCTCAAGACAAATATCACCACCACCACCAACGGCAAGAATAAAAGGTTTAGTTTTTTACAGAGAGCCACATTTTCCCCCATGAAGTTATTGCAGTGACACCACCATGGTCAAGAATCCATTTGCGCCCTTTTTCCATCGCTCCTTCTCCATCATCAGTCCCTTCACCAAGCAACCTCAAAGTAACATAGTTCAGAGCAGTACCAAACATGGTGCTTGGGCCCTCAATGTGTAAACCCCAACCACCATCTTCATTCTACAATTCACAAGTCCCAATGTTTAGAAAGGGTTTTGTGCTTCAATGTACAAACTGTGTGTGTGTGTAAGAGAGAGAGAGAGAGGTAAGAACCCTAACAGACACTAGAAACCATATAACATTAAACAGGTGTGTAAAAGAGATGCGCAGGTTGCAACTTCAAAACTGCAGGAGTTTATCTTGCCTGATGATTGTAAAGATAACGGCACATCTCACGTTGATGTTCTTTTGACAAGACTGCATTCAGTGCTCCTGTTATATATAGGATAATTATCTGTTCCATTAAATGAGAAAAACAGCATTAAAAATTTACAAGAAACCAAGGAGAGGAAAGAAATCTGTTTAAGGTTCAATACTTACCAATCCAGGTAATAGAAACATAGGGCCACCATAGTCCCCTGGCCAGTGTCCATCATGTGCCTGGATGGTCGAGTAGAAACTGATAGCCCTTTTCAAAGTGATTTTCACAGCCTCGTCAGTAACATCTTCTGAATCTTTTACTTTAACTTGAGGTAAGATTGTGCTTTGCGGATTCTCCTTTGCAAACTAGGGTTTTAAAAATCAAAGGGTCAACATGAGAGTGTAACATGAAACATCAGAAACATTACCTAGTCTCTTTTCCATATTTTACATTGAGTGAAAACCGTAATAATATATCAAGAATGTAAATTCCTTTTTCATTCCTAAATCTGAAGAGATGTGAATTCTAATGCAAAATGAAGTACATAGGATAAATTATGAACACAACTGCTTGCTATTTTTTCCTTTCTATTTTCTAGATTTTCCTGTATTTGGGCAACAGGATTTTTCTAGTATTTGGACATCAGACCCATGTGGAATCCATGGGTATGTTTCTTTTTTTTTTCTGAACAAGTATAGTATTTGATCATTATGGGCCATGTACAGTGAGAGACTATACATGCATATATTAGGTCTGTACATTAGTCATACCAAAAACTGAGCTCCTAGAACAAACAGCAAGCCCTCTAAGAAAATACTAAACTTTGTTCAGAAAACTTATGTCAAGGAATGCCCCAAAACTTAACAACATCAGATAGCCAAGAATGAAGAGTTATAACAGCCCTCTGTACAATCTCTTCGTGAGATGCAGCCTTGTACTCAAAGGTATTCCAGAGGATTTTGTTGAAGTATGTTTCTTTTAGTTCATATTTAATTGTTTTTGAGTCACTGTATCAGCTGTCCAGTTAGCAGGCCGCTTACATGTCACTAGTTATTACTGTAATGAGCAGTTTAGTAAGTTTACTTGCTAATAAGGCAAGCCATGACCATGAGTCCATGACTATAGTGCTTCCTATTACAGAGATGAACGAGAATTTGAGTTTATTGCTGCTGCACCACCTTGGTTTTTGTGATGTTTTCTAACACCTAACAGTAATTCCTAGTCAAGGTTATTTTCCATTTTATGCTTCTTTCTATTACTTCATTTATGGTTGCTGCTTGCTACCGAATACCTGTTTGTTAAACGAAAGCCTAAGGATGTTGTGAAACTTCCACCACATTTATCTCAACTCTGGATATTTTTTATTGTTAATAATGGTAGCTGTGGCTAGCCTAACAGTGTTGTGCCTAGGTTTTGTGTCCAGACCCAGCCCAGGCCTGGTACAGTATGCATAATATATATAAGGTTGTACCATTGTAGGCCCACAGTCCATTCCTGCCTGGCCCATGATCCACCCTACTGCAACATTGAAACTCCAAAACAGTTTGGAAAGTCTTTCTATATCTTTTCTAGCAGACTCCCAATGAATGCAGGTGTCTGTTTTATTTTTGACCTTTAGTCCTTTAAACACATGTTTGAAACCCTTCAAGTCCAATTAAGGGGCCGTTTGATAATAACTGAAGTAGTTGAACTGAATGGCTCATTGCTTTGACTTTAGTGAACAAGATGGTGATTTTTTTATAATAAATAAAATTTCATTAAAAACAAAAAGAAAGTACAGGGGGAAGGTAATGAGAAATCATCCAAGAGAAGAAATAACAAACCCAACAACAGGTACAAAACGCTCACACCCAACACAAGACCCACACAAACAGAAATGACTCGGAGAAGCAACAACTCTCAGCCACTCAATTACAGAACAAAGCAAACAAAACAACTCCAGAAATTCCTCAGAAACAAGATCATTCCCCCCTCCCATCGAGTTCCTCTTCCTGACTGTTGAAGATTTAGTCAATTTTGTGTTGTTTTAGGAGTAGTTGTTTTATGTTAATTGTTAGATAGGAAGTGGGGACCACAGTAGTTATGTTGGGTCCATTATTTATTATTAGTCTTTTATGTGCTTTTTAGTGTTTTCTGCCCTATAAGGGCATATTAGTCATTGTATTCTTCTTATATTTCTTTATAAATATTAAGTGAAGGGGGCAGCAAGATATAGCCCTCTTTTCTTTCTCAAGTTCTCTTCTTCTTTTCTTCTTCTCTCTTTCTTCTCTTCTTCAAGAAAATATTTTTTTCTTTCATAATTTTTTTAATTCAGCAGATTTCTACTTGGTATCAGAGCTTCAGCTAGATTTCTTGGACTTTTCTCCTGCAGTCCTAGATCGGCCGACTGCATGAGGTGATAAAGGGCTGATCAATCTACTACAAGTTGCCCAGTTCTTGGATTTTTTGGTGAGATTTAGTCATCCGGAAGGTGATCTACTTTTCGGCATCAAAATCAGGAAGAACTGGAGTACAGGGAAGAGTCCTAGAAAAGTTGGACTCTTAATTTTTTATCTGATCTTGGGCGCTTAGGTATCGTTGGATTTCTCTTGTTTTTCTGTAGGGGGAGGTTAGGTTTCTAGAGTTTTCTGGCCTCCTGGAGTGGTCGATTCACTTTTCTCTCTGGTGGGAGACAATGGGAGGAGAGAGATTTCTCTCCGGATAGGGTTTTCTTCTTCTGGAAGGGTTTGTTCCTGTGTGTATGAGATCGAATTGCTCTTGGAGGCTCTCAACCTACTTTTTTTTCTTACTGTTGAACTGTTTGAAGTAAGATGGAGAGTTGGTGTACCGAACTGAAGTCCACCGGTACCATGGGGTTGGGCATTGAAGGTAGTAGTGATATTTTTTGGTCTAGAATCATTACTATAGTGAAGCTTGATGGTACAAATTATTTAGAATGGGCACAATCAGCCAAGATAGCTATTGGTGCCCGTGGAAAATTAGGGTACATCACTGGGGAGGAGAAGAAACCTGATACAGATTCCTCTCAATGGGTACAAGAGAATTACATGGTGATGTCCTGGTTGTGTATTACCTCATATTGGCAAAAATTTTTTATGGGCTAATACTGCAAAGGAGATTTGGGATGGAGTGACTAAAACCTATTCTCAGAAGCAGAATGTAGCCAAAGCCTACCAGTAAAGGAATTAGGTGATTAGTATAAAACAGGGAAATAAACCCCTTGCCATGTATTTCTCCATGCTAAAAACCCTTTGGCAGGAGATAAATCACTTAGAAACCGTGGTGTGGGAAAGTGTAAATGATGCAGCAACCTATCAAAAACTAGTAGAGAAAAATAGGGTTTTTGAGTTCTTGGCATGGTTAAACCCTGAATTCGACATCGCTAGGCAGCATATCCTTTCTAGAGAGAGTGTGACACTCTCTCAAGCCTATGCCTTTGTTTCTGGAAAGGAGAACAAGAGGAATGTCATGCTGAGACAGCCTAGGATTGACTAGTCTACTATGGTTAGTACAACCAAACCTAAGCCAAATGGAAACAAGGGGAGTAGTGAGACTAGGAGGGAGGATAAGAAGGACTTGGTGTGTTATTATTATAAGAAGCCTAAGCATACCAGAGACACTTGCTGGAAGCTCCACCCACATCTCATACCTGCTCGAATCAAGAACAATAAGGGAAATGCAAATGTGGCCACTACAGGAGACTCTTCGGCCCCCTTTCCTAAACTGATTGGGAGTCTATTGCAATAGCAGCAGTTAGAACAAAATTGGAAAGGTTTGGACAGCTTATGAGTAAGAAAGATTCAACTAGTTCTAGCCCTTCAGATGGACAACAAAGTGTAGGAGCCAACTACACCACCTCTTTTGCTCATACAGGTAGTTCATATGCAACTACAAATCTTGCATCCACTTTAAGTAAGGAGGGACCTCCTTGGATTATAGACTCGGGAGCATCTGAGCACATGACTAATATACCTACCCTTTTTAGTTCTTATCAGTTGTGCTCTGGTAGAGACAGAGTCTCTACAGCAAATGGTTCACATATTCCCATTGTTGGGAAGGGGATAGTTAGAGTGACCAATTGCATTACTTTACCTTCTGCCTTATATGTCCCTAGACTTCATACCAACCTTCTTTCTGTTAGTTCTTTGACAAAAAATTTGAATTGTTTAGTGACTTTCCTTCTTGGTAATTGTGTTTTGCAGGATTTGGAGTCAAAGAAGATGATTGGGAGTGGTAGTGAGGTGAATGGAGTCTACCTTCTAAATGAGATCCCGAGAGATCAGAGCTACCATGTTAGCAGCAACAGTAGTAGTGGATCAAAGTCAATGAGTTAGATTATGCTCCAGCATAATCGGTTAGGTCATCTTTCTTTTAGTTCATTAAAATTCATTTTTCCAAAGTTGTTTGAGTCTGCCCAGTTATCTACCTTAGAGTGTGAGAGTTGTCAATTGGGAAAACATTATAGACATTCTTTTAAACCAAGTAATAAAAGAAGTGCTTTTGCTTTTGATGTTGTTCACACTGATGTATGGAGACCATATCATATCCCTTCCATGGGTGGCTACTGTTATTTCCTCTTGTTTGTGGATGATTAGACACGGTATTCTTGGACATATTTGATGAGATCCCATGATGAGGTTCCTAACTTGGTACGGCAGTTCCACCAGATGGTTCTCACACAATTTGGAATGAGAACTAAGGCCTTCAGATCAGATAATGCCAGAGAATATTTTGAGAAGGATTTGACCACATTTTTTGGAACATGGTATAATTCATCAGAGTAGTTGTGCATATACACCGCAATAGAATGGAGTAGCAAAGAGAAAAAATAGACACATTGTAGAGGTGGCAAGAAGTCTTATGGTGTGTGATTCAGTTCCTATTCATTTCTGGGGAGATGCATTTCTTACAGCCATACACTTGATTAACTATGTTCCTTCATGTACTTTGGGGTTTAAGGTACCATTCAATCTTCTTTTTCCGGATAGGGAGATGTTTCACATACCTCTAAGGGTTTTTGGGTGTGTTTCCTTTGTTCACATTCTTGGCCTTCATCGCAAGAAGTTGGATTCTAAGGCCAAGAAATGTGTTTTCCTTGGGTATGCTCAAAACCAAAAAGGGTATTGTTGTTATGACCCTATATTGATGAGCAGATTTGTCACTATGGATGTTACTTTTTTTGAGCCTACCTTCTTTTTCTCGAGTGGTTCTCCTCAGGGGGAGAGTCTTGGGGAGGAGAACTCATAGTCTGTTCCTCATCCTGTTTCCTTTATGCCCCCAGTTTTACCATCAGCACCTCCATCAGTTCCATTACTTGAGCCACTACGAGTAGCCTCACAGCACTACCAGCGCCACCAGGCGATGG